TTCCTTCAGGTCACTGGAAATCCAGGGCTTGTTGTTAGGGAAGCACTGGACGGTCCTGGCTGGCATGGTGGTGTCCTCGCAGAATCTGATGTAATCCGTAACGCAGTTGGTCATCCCATCGATGTCCTCCCCATGTGGCTCACATAACACGTCCCAGTCTGTGGACTCGAAGCAGTCCTGCAGTGCCTCAGCAGCCTCTGGTGGTGAAGATTCCAAAAAAGTTTAAAAAACAATCCACTGGACTGTTTCCCCCATTAAAAAGGGGTGGACTCATTCAATTTGCATGTTTTCTAAGCGAAAACAAGGCTCTGTTGGAATACTGTATCAAGCCTCGAACTCAACACTATTTCTGACGTTTTGAATAGAAAAAGCTTCCTGGATGGGAAGCGAAACGTCTTCAATTAGAACAGATTGAGAATATCTAGAATAAAGTCACAAAATAATGAGAATAAAGTTGAAAAACCTTCACATCCAGTTGCCTTAACTGAACTAAAGTCGAAAAATTACGAGAATAGAGTCATAATATTACAAGCATAAAGTTGTGTTTTATGACAACTCTTACAAGAAGCATTGTCTTCCCTAAAATGAGGAATCATGTGAAGTTATACTTTGGCATCGGTTTGACAAATAAGGAAATCTTTCAACACCAGCCTCAGACTGGGCAGGATATCAAAGTGGACTCATGTTGCTGCTTGGTGGAGCTGGTCGGCGTCATCTGCTGGTCGGAGCTCAAAGCTTTCTTTCTGAAAGGGTTTGTGGTATGATGACTTAATTCTTTATAATATTACAACTTTATTCTTATAATATTACAACTTTAATCTAAAAAAAAAAACATTTAAAAATCTCTAGCCTGGCCATAATACTTCATTGTAAAACTTAAAAAGGCTGTCTTTGTTTTTTTATATTACCTGGATTTCCCAAGTGTGGCTGCGTTGTTTGCACTCTAAGAGATAAATCTGAAATCTCAACCTCTGACGGTAGTTTGGGGACATTTGAAATTTTCTTTCATGGTTGAGAGGGTTAGCGGAGACGAGGGAGTCGCTGCAACCCGTATCAAACTATTCTGAGCATCTCCCTTTCCCCCCCAATGGGGCCTGGAAATAAACATTTATGCATTTTCTCTCCTAGAATCACATTTTATTGACTGTTCAATCTAATTTATGAAAAAGAAACCCAAGATAGGAAAAATAACATTTTAGACTGTCACTCTTTGCAGGTGAAACAAGGCAAGACTACTTTTTATGCTATGCCTTAAATAGAAATGTGGAAAAAATAAGTTTATGAAATATCAGCTGAACAGATGTCAGGGAGAGATCTGGGTAAAACAGAGGAGATTGGCAGGCCTGGGTCCCAGCTGCTCAATGATTGTCACATTTTCAATCACTCTGGAGTACCTGAGTCTCTGATCCTTAAGGTGGGAAGAGATGAGTTGATCACATGTGGAATATCAGAGATGGAGAAAATGAACTTAGAATGTAGAAAAGAACAAATAAAGAGACGTTTTATTCAGGCTATAACGGATGGGAGGAAAAGAAAACAAAGTTTAGGGATATTAAAAACATGAGGTGAGAAAGGAGAGGTGGGAAATGCTTTTGCAGAGTAAGAAGACAAAAAAACAGATGACAATCAATGATAAGAAAGAAAATGGGAGTAAAAGATAAAAGGCAAAGAAAAACAGTTCCAGAGAGGAGAAGGGGGGGATGAAATGGCAATAACAGATAAGAATTAATAAAAAGATAAAAAGTGCTGCAGGATAGTTTTCTGCTTCACAGGCTTACAGATATGACCACACCCCAACACATACAAACAGATTACGGGTCACGAGTGAAGCAAGAACATGCAGATAACCAATGCACTGGGATTAATAATGAGATTTCAGGAGCAAGAGATTTGAGGGGAGGGCTGGGATTACGGCACCCGTCCCGAATCCAAACCAATTCCCAGCAGACAAAGAAAAAGCAAAACAAAGCTGCTTTAAAATGATTGGAAGGTTTGAGCCAAGACTGTCTCAGATTGAACGCGGAGAGCAAGGGTGACATTAGAAAAATAGAAATACTGGCAGGAAGGCTTTCCCATTCAAACTCTGGACTCAAATGGACATTATTCATTGTCCCTACTTAGTCTAAAAAAAAATCTTTAATCAAGTTTATGTCATCATTTGTACCAGAAGCTCTAAAGACTATATAGCTACATTTATTGGAAGTGGAACAATCCTTTAAAAAATCCCCCATCAGTAGATATGTTGCTTTAAAGTCATGGTTGGGTAACATGTTGGTTAAGACGCTGTGTAGAACAGAGACATGTGACTCGTCCATCACAGGGAAATGCAGAGAAACATGATGTAATGACGCTAACAGCTGGACTGTAGCCCCAATGATCAGGGGCGTATTTAGGAAATGTGGGGCCCTAGGAAAAGACAGGCAGGGGGCCCTCTGAATTGAGAAGAAACAAATAAAATAGACCATTATACAAATACAGAAATGTTAATAGACTAGACTTTATTTGTTCTATATTTTTTTCCCTTTTCTTGTTGTTTTCCTCTCTATGTTTTGTACTCAGCTGACTTTTCATGCTGTCTCAAAACGAATGAAAGATTTTTTTCCAAGTACTAAGCTCACTTAGCTGATTGCTCCTTCCTGTGTTTCCAAAAAGGCGACGGCAAAAGTAAATA